AAGAAATCCTTCCACCTCTGCTTCCCAAAGTGCTGGGATTATAGGTATAAGCCACCATGCCTGACCAATGCTTTTTTTGTTTTTTAATCCTTTGGAGAATACTGGGAGAAAGTGCCACTATCTTGTAGTTTTTAAGTCTGGGTGTTTTATAAAACGTACTGAATGATATAATTATCTGTTTATATTTAAGAAGATTAACAAAAGCATCTTGTAAGATGTGAACTTTATATCCATATAGCCTTAACGATTTCTTTTTTTAATTTCTAGAGTAAAGTCGAGTCTTGGTTTTCTCTCATTATGCCTTTTGCAACAGTTATCTTTTTTGTCATGATCCTGGATTTCTATGTGGATTCCATTTGTTCAGTCAAAATGGAAGCTTCCAAATGTGCTCGCTATGGATCCTTTCCCATTTTTATTAGTGCACTGCTTTTTGGAAATTTTTGGACACATCCAATAACAGACCAGCTTCGGGCTATGAACAAAGCAGCTCACCAGGAAAGCACTGAACATGTGCTATCTGGAGGAGTGGTAGTGAGTGCAGTATTCTTCATTTTGTGTAAGCATATTCTCCCTTGTTTTTACTTTAACAAATTTCTCTCTCTGGATTCTGATGGTCAAATCATTTATTTATTTGGGAAATTCAAGGTTTGCATTTAGTACTGACAGTTACCTTGTTGGTTTTTGATATCTGAAACTTTTAAAACTTTTGCAATATTCTTTTTTTTTCTCTTTGTAGCTGCCAACATCTTATCGTCTCCCTCTAAGAGAGGACAGAAAGGTACCCTTATTGGATATTCTCCTGAAGGAACACCTCTTTATAACTTCATGGGTGATGCTTTCCAGCACAGCTCTCAATCAATCCCTAGGTTTATTAAGGAATCACTAAAACAAATTCTTGAGGAAAGTGACTCCAGGCAGATCTTTTACTTCTTGTGCTTAAATTTGGTAAGATTTTTAAATATTAATGACATATCTTAAAAGCTTAATATTTTAACAGTTCTAATATAATTTTAGTAATTCACAGATTTCTGATAATTAGAATTGGGTTATAATTTACATTTTCTGTTAGCAGTAACAGAATTACAGGATCACATTCACAGTACTTATGCAAATGAGTTTTTGAACTACAGGATCATATTCACAATACTTAAAGCAAGGAGTTTTTGAGGCATATCAAAGTTTTGCTTTAGTATGCTTTTTCAAACATGCAAATATGGTGGTATTTAAGAAGTTTTATCTAATCCTTATAGGATTTCACTAAAGACCACTGATTGCTAAATTTTATATATAGCCTTGTTATTTTTTACAGACACATAAACAGAATTGTCTCCTTTTAAATAGTTTATAAAATGAATATATATAACTTGTCTTAGTTTCTTACAATTTATATGAAATGAAGTCTCTGGTGTAAATAACTAAAGAATTAGAGTTATAGCAGATCTTGATATAAGATTTGTATAATTAAAGATTAAAATCTGGCGGCACTTGTGGCTCATGGAGTAGGGCACTGGCCTCATATACCGGAGGTGGTGGGTTCAGGCCCAGCCCCAGCCAAAAACTGCAAAAAAATAATAATAATTAAAAAATAAAGATTAAAATCTTCAGGATTAAATTCTGATAAATATTGAGACATATTTCCAACATACTCCTCCTATTTTTTTGTTTTTAACATTTTTAGCTTTTTACCTTTGTGGAATTATTCTATGGGGTGCTGACCAATAGTCTGGGTCTAATCTCAGATGGATTTCATATGCTCTTTGACTGCTCTGCCTTAGTCATGGGACTTTTTGCGGCCCTGATGAGTAGATGGAAAGCCACACGGATTTTCTCCTATGGGTAGGTACATGGACTATCAAGGTGACATACCATAATATAAAAATATAAAGTACCAATTCCTTTTTATGGAATAAATTGTGTTACTTTTAATACAAATAGTTTTTAGATCTTCATTTTTCTTTAAAGTAGACAATGGGTTATGAACCAACCAGTGATAAATACTAAATGGCAGTAAATTCAAGATTATACTCCCTGACAAATCCTCTTTTTAGGCAGGGAGTCAAATTAAGTTAAAATCTTAAAGTGTGGGCTGCACCTGTAGCTCAGTGAGTAGGGCACCAGCCTTATATACCGAGGATGGTCGGTTCAAACCCAGCCCCAACCAAATTGCAACAAAAAAATAGCTGGGCATTGTGGCAGACATCTATAGTCCCAGCTACTCAGGAGGCTGAGGCAAGAGAATCACCTAAGCCCCAGAGCTGGAGGTTGCTGTGAGCTGTGACGCCATGGCACTCTACCAAGGGTGACAAAGTGAGACTGTCTCTAAAAAAAGAAAATCTTAAAGTCTTTGCTCAACATGTTTCTTTAAGGCAATGGAAGGTCCTTGGCCATTTACATCTTTATGTTAGAAAGAGTACTCAAAATTTCAAGTAGCTATACATGAAAATATCCTTTCATTAAGCAAATAATTCCTTTCAACAAATTGAATTACTAGAATCCCTTTATGTGAGGTATTTTAGAGGATAAAATATCCACTAAATTAATAAACCAGCTCTTATAAACTGTTTGTTTTGAAAGATGGATGAACCAAAACTACAAATAATTTTAGAACAAAGCAGAATCTATATGCCATGATAGAGATACAAATCGCATCAAGCCTTTAGTTTAAGGGAAGGGGAAATAAGCTCCTTGCTGGAAAATTAGGTAGGCTTTTTTTTTTCTTTATTAAATGATAGCTGTGTACATTAATGCAATCATGGGGTACAATGTGATGTTTTCATATACAATTTGAAATATTTTCATGAAACTGGTTAACATAGACTTTATGTCATTTTCTTAGTTATTGTGTTACGATGTTTATATTCTACTTTTAGAAAGATTCACTTGTACCCTTGAAAGATAAACCATAGAGGTGATCCATCCAATCACCCTCCCTCCACCCATCCACCCCTCCTAGGTAGGCTTTTTGTAAGAGAATCACTAAAGAAGGATTTTGATTTATATATAAAATTTTAACAAGCATATGTATGGAAAGACCTTCCAGTGTTAATATATTTAAAATAATGGTGGGCAGTGCCAGTAGCTCAGTGGATAGGGCATCGATCACCTACACTCAGGCTGGCGGGTTCGAATCTGGCCTGGGCCAGCTAAACAACGACAACTACAACAAAAAAATAGCCGAGCTTGGGGAGGGGGGTGTGTGCCTATAGTTCCAGCTAATTGGGAGGCTGAGACAAGAGAATCTCTTTTTTTTTTTTTTTGAGGTGGAGCCTCAAGCTATCCCCCTGGGTAGAGTGCCATGGCATCACACTCACAGCAACCTCCAACTCCTGGGCTTAAGTGAGTCTCCTGTCTCAGCCTCCCAAGTAGCTGGGACCACAGGCGCCTGCCACAACGCCCGGCCATTTTTTTGGTTGCAGCCATCGTTGTTTGGCGGGCCCGGGCTGGGGATTCGAACCCTCCACCTTAGGTGTATGTGGCTAGCGCCTTAGCTGCTTGAGCCACAGGTGCCGAGCCAAGAGAATCTCTTAAGCCCAAGATTTTCAGGTTACTGTGAGCTATGATGCCATGACACTCTACCAAGGGTGACATAATAAGACTCTGTCTCAAAAAAAAAGGGTAAATTTCTATTATTATTATTATTTAGTAGTTTTAAAATCTTGACTTGTTTCCTCATTATAAAATAATGATGTTTATACTTTTAAAATACTTGTTATTTTACTTTTCTAAACAATATTCTTTGTTTTTAGGTATGGCCGAATAGAGATTCTCTCTGGCTTTATTAATGGACTTTTTCTGATGGTAATAGCTTTTTTTGTGTTCATGGAGTCAGTTGCTAGATTGATTGATCCTCCAGAATTAGACACACACATGTTAACAGTAAGTCTTCATTTTTTAACTTCCTATCTTGCTATTTACACTGCTACCTCTTAGAAATCAACCAGTCTGGCTGGGCACAGTGGTTCATGCTTGTAACCGAGCATTTTGGGAGGCCAAGATGGGAGGATCACTTGAGGCCAGAAGTTTAAGACCAGCCTAGCAACATAGCAAGACCCTGGACTCTACAAAAAATAAATATTTGGATGTAGGGTCATTACAAATGTAATTAGTTAAGATGAAGCCAAGCCCAGTGGTATATATCTGTAGTCTCAGCTACTTCAGAGGCTGAGGCAGGAAACTACCTTGAGCCCAAGAGTTCAAGATTTTAGTGCACCTGTGAATAGCCTAGGCAACATAAAGAGAACTTGTCTCTAAAATATTTTTAAATAAATGTGCAGGATGACTCATTTATTCATTCTCATAATCCCAGCACTTTGGGAGGCTGAAGCAAGAAGATTATTTGAGGCTACAAGCTTTAGACCAGCCTAGGCAACGTAGCAAGACCCTGTCTGTACAAAAAGGTTTTAAGAAAATCAGCCAGGCATGGTAGCACAGGCTTATAGTCCCTCCTGCTTAGAAGGCTCAGGTAGAAGGACTGCTTGAGTTCAGGCATTTGAGAGTATGATCTGGACACTGCACTCCAGCCTGGGCAAGAGTTTTCAAAAAAAGGAAAAATCAAACTATCCTTTTCAATAGTATTTTAGTAGTCAAAACATTATTATATTCAATGACATTGTAAAATATACAGGTTTATTTTTTACTTACTAAATATTTTTGTTTAAAGATGTGTCTTTGGGCAGCCACTAGCTCAGTGATTATGGCGCCGGCCCCATATCCCAAGGGTGGGTTCAAACCCGGCCCCAGCCAAACTACAACAAAAAAAAATAGTCAGGCATTGTGGCAGGTACCTATAATCCCAGCTACTTGGAAGACTGAGGCAAGAGAATCACCTAAGCCCAGGAGTTGGAGGTTCCTGTGAGCTGTGATGTCATGGCACTCTACTGAGGGCAACAAAGTGAAACTCCGTCTCTAAATAAATAAATAAATAAATAAAGATGTGTTTTTAAATACTTGAGTGTATTCACATGATGTTAGAGAGAAAAATCAAGAAAAAAATTATGATTTTAAAGGCTTCCCTCTACAGATATAGATTATAACAGCTGTTAATGTTCTCCCTATACCGCCAAAATTTACTTGTCCTAGTCCTTGTAGTTGCCATGCCCTTCCCTCACTTCTGCCCTTCAACCTCCTTTATGACTTTGCTTATAGTTCTCTGGTGCAATACTTTCCCTTAATCCCTCTCCTCCCTCTTCAAAGTTTATTAAATACACCCTCCTCTGTATTGCCATTGTATTTAGTGCATTCTTTTAGCAGCACTGAGTGTGCAGTTGTTTGATTTATCATTCTTCCACAATTAAGAGGTAAGTATGGCTCAGCGACCGGAGCTCAGTTAGTAGGGTGCCAGCCATGTACACCACCAAAGCTGGACGGTTCAATCCCAGCCTGGGCCTGCTAAACAACAGTGAAAACTGCAACAAAAAACTAGCCGGGCATTGTGATGGGCACCTATAGTCCCAGCTACTTGGGAGGCTGAGGCAAGAGAATCGCTTAAGCCCAGGAGTTAGAGGTTGCTCTGCGCTATGATGCCATGGCACTCGACCAAGGGCGACATAGTGAGAGTCTGTCTCAAAAAAAAAAAAAAAAGTAAGTATCTTCAGGACGGGAACTGTGTATCATTAACTCGTAAATTCTAGCACCTGGCTTATGGTAGGAAATCAGCAATTAATTGTTGAATGACTAAAAGCAGTTCTGAGTCTTCCTGGTGGGAGCATACATGAGTAAAACATTTTTGAAGTATAGTTTGGAAATATATCCTGGATTTTTAAATGTTCTTATCTTTTGACCTTTAATATTTATCATACATAAATATGGACACAAGTGTATATAAGTACCTGATTCATTATATTATTTACAAGGGTGGAAAAAAATGGAAACAATCCAGTGTCCGTTAATGAAAGAAATAATTAAATAAATTTATTATAGTAGAATACCATATAGGTATTAAAAATAATGAAGTATCGATATGCAGGGTGGCACCTGTAGCTCAAAGGAGTAGGGTGCCGGCTCCACATACTGGAGGTGGCAGGTTCAAACCCAGCCCCAGCTGAAAGCTCCAAAAAAAAAAGGGAAGTATCAATATACATACAGCTAGAATATACACATATAACAGTACTATACAGCCATTAAAAATAATGAAGTGTATGTATTAATGTATGTAATAATGAAGTGTATATACAAACTAGTATTGTAATATGATTCTGTTAGTGGTTCACGAGGTATGTTTACTAATAAGCAATGGTAAGTAACTTTGTATATCCTTTAGAGCAGTGGTTCTTTTTGCAGTTTTTGGCCAGGGTTGGGGTTTTTTTGTTTTTTTTTTTGAGACAGAGCCTCAAGCTGAGTAGAGTGCTATGGCATCACAGCTCACAGCAACCTCCAACTCCTGGGCTCAAGCGAGT